TACTTGTCACTAAATAAACGTCAGAAAAGGTGGAGACAAAAAATTAAATATAATGAGTCACGTTATTATATGGGCATAACGTGAGCACATAAACTTCCACATAAGGTTTTTTTTGGCCCCTTTTTAATAAGGCATAATGGCTCCCTTCCTCCCTACACACTAGGGATCATCAACTTTGTTAATTTCCAGGCGTGGCTCTTTCGTTGATAACACGCATGTACCTCGCTATTATTTTGTTTGTGTGGTTTGTGTCATCTATTCTGTTATATAATTTGAGTTCTGATTCATCTGGAGTTGGTGTAAGTCGTAAAAAGGATTTATAATGTAGTGAATTGTGTGTGTGTGTGTGTGTGTGTGTGTGTGTGTGTGTGTGTGTGTGTGTGTGTGTGTGTGTGTGTGTGTGTGTGTGTAAACTTGTGCAGCGATTGAGAGTAATTGATAATCATTACCAATCATAAAAATCACATACCGTGAAAAAATGCGAAGACATGCAAATATATTTAAACAAATGTAAGGGGAACATGTTTAATATAAAAATAATAATGATAGTAAATAACATCAAAATATAAAAACGTAACTCGTTGTTCTATTTCATGTTTAATTCATCAGCAGACGACAGTAGCTTGTTACCCTGGCTGACAGTCGTGTTTCCACTCCCTCATACCCTTCTCGCCCCCCCCCCTACCACCACCACCGCCCCACCCTTTGATAAGCGTCAGTATTCAACATCACACCTCCTTCTTCTAAACCATTTTTAGTCCTTTTAGCATTTTAATAGCTTACTGCGCAGTTGTAACGAGTGAGCTTACAGAAAATAATACCCCCTCGCCAGCTAACATTTGTAATATTTTTGGTTGTTTGTTTTTCGTTTAACTTCTTAAAAATAACAGTAAAACATCAACATCACAGATAGCAATAAAATACGATTATGAACAGTATAATGTATCTAAATGGCTGACTTTGATGGTCAAGTTCTGGTGTTTAAACATGTCAGGTGCTGGCCGAGGGTCAAAGATAAATTTTTATCTTTCTTTTACATATTTTGAATTCATACAGAAGCACTTGACATTACATGGCACTTGTTCACCCTAATGGAAGGTAAAATAAACGAGGATAAACGCTTTGCATTTCAACACATTGCTTTCTTTTTACCTACAGGAATACCATTAGCACTCTCACTTTATACACAAATTTGAAAACATACGTGGACATACTCGTGATCTCCGCATCCCAAACGTAGGCACGGACAAATCATTAAAAAATAAATACATGCTCTAGACATACAATTCTGCTTCTGTGCAACATACCTTTCCCTCGAACCCCGACCTACTCATCCGCTGACGCAAATTCAGACATTCAAGTCCATAATACCTTCTCCTACCTCAAGCTTCCTAACTCCGTGTTGGGGGTCTTCCTTTGACTTTCTTAATTCACATCCCTCTCCTTCTCGCTCCAGCCACGGTTCTCTCATTCATTGCTTCTATTTGCTTTGTCTACTTTCTGTTTCGCCCGTCTTCAATCACCGATTTATTCAAGCCAATTTCTCTCTCTTTCTACCCTTACTTTCATTTGTTCCCCCATCTCCTCCTCCTCCTCCTACTCCACTTCCTTAACATCTGTCTCTGGACCACCTTTCCATAATAATCACTCCGCCCTTTGACTGTTAAACACTTCTTCATATAAAATATCCCAAATAAACCACATACTATGCACATACTATGACAGGCACAGACGCATGATTGACCTTAAATTGACTCCGCTGAGGTAATCCTCCCCGTTGCATTATTGTCACACGCAAAGACCTCCCATCCAACGGCAGTTACTTTAGGTACTTACTTTTTTTAAGGCATTGTAAAGGTCTTTTAAGTACCTCATCGCCATCAAACTAAGTATTGCCCGAGTTTAACCTCGGCTACACCTTGACTCGGAATGTAAAATTGAATTGATCCAGCAATGTCTTAACAATTGGTTAATTGGTCAGCCTTCACGACAGAGAACACAATAGACTGCACTATTCTTTCATAACTAACCTGACACCGGCAACACAGTCTTCATCATCCCTCACAGGAACAGACGTTAACTACACCACGCTTCCATGGATCAGTATTCATGCCGACATATTATACCACGTAACTGTAATGATACTAATAATCATCAGTATAATTATAACATGTGTGACGATCATAGAAATACTGGAACCATTCTCTCTGAAAACGCCTTCAACGCTACAGATACCCCGATTATCTGTGGCTACGACACTGTTCTTATTTATAAAAATGTCAAGTTGTCCGCAGGTAGAGGCAAAGATGGAGACCTATATTCCTCTGTTCTTGGGCCATCACAAACGCTCTCTCAAAGGACTGTACAAATTAGTAGGCACAGTTTCCCTGGTTGTTTAGGGATCTGCGTATACAGCACCAAGAAAAAACAGACTATACAGACGTATGAAAACAAAAATGCACAATGGGACGACTTAAAAAAAACACCTCCATACATTTCAGTGTCAGAGGCAAGACTAAAGACCACATCCACTTTTTTCTAGTCGTGTATCCACACGATAACATTTACGCTAAACAGAAGAAAAAAAGAAATACAAAGGGGAAAGAGAAAGACAAATAGTAGAAGAGAAAAAATAAGTAATAATACAACAACAAACAAGAGCAAGAACAACAACTATAACTACACCAACTACCACTACATCACCAATATCACAACTAACAAGCATATCAAAACGAATGAAGATGGTTATAAAAAGTAAACAAACAGTAACGTAAAGCCTGAAAAGTCCACTAGATGGCCCAACGCCTTCCGAACCAATATACGAGCAAAAGTTAATTAATGGCTCATCTATACCTTACGGTTGGCCAGGTCCGATGTGTTGTTCCCTTTCAAGATAGGTCATGCGTGAAGTCCCCTCTCCCCTCCTCGCTCTCTCTCTCTCTTTTCCCCTCCTCTACTGTCCTCTCTTTCCCCTCTCCCCTGATCCCTCCTCTCCCCTATCTCTTTCCCCTAAAGCCTCCCTCTGCCTATCCTCCCTCTCCTCATCCCTGCCCCTATTCCCCTTCCGCTCTCCCGTTCACCTCCAGCCCCCTCCCCCCCCCCCTTCATCCCTCAATCTCGGAATAACAGTGGCCTTATTGAGGGGAGACATCCTTGCCAAGAACGACGGCGAACAAGACAGTAATTTTTACAGCGATGTTTGGGGAAGAGATGTTTTGATTTATCGCCATGAGTTGTTGAAATATCTATATATATATACCAGAAGCCTAGGGTAGAACAGGTTCTTGAAACACTATTGAAATATCTTCCGAATTCCATGCGTCTACTTAATCTCCTATATTTAAAGCTAAGTCAATTGGTCAAAAAGGAAACTAGTAATTTAGGTAGCCAAGGAAAAAAAAAAAAAAATCTAAGAATTGCCTTGATTCAGCGTGGTTCTTACGGGAAGGTGGTCTTGAGAAATATGTCAAGGAAGTGGAGTAGGAGGAGGAGGAGGAGATGGGGGAACAAATGAAAGTAAGGGCAGAAAGAGAGAGAAATTGGCTTGAATAAATCGGTGATTAGAGACGGGCGAAACAGAAAGTAGACAAAGCAAATAGAAGCAATGAATGAGAGAACCGTGGCTGGAGCGAGAAGGAGAGGGATGTGAATTAAGAAAGTCAAAGGAAGACCCCAACACGGAGTTAGGAAGCTTGAGGTAGGAGAAGGTATTATGGACTTGAATGTCTGAATTTGCGTCAGCGGATGAGTAGATCGGGGTTCGAGGGAAAGGTATGTTGCAAAGGTGGACAGAAGCAGAATTGTATGTCCAGAGCATGTATTTATTTTTTAATGATTTGTCCGTGCTTGTGTGTGGGATGTGGTCACGAGTATGTCCGTGTTTTAGAATTAGTGTATAAAGTGGTAGTGCTAATGGTATTCCTGTAAGTAAGAAGGATACAATGTGTTGAACTGCTAAGCGTTTATCCTTGTTTATTTTACCTTCCATTAGGGTGAACGAGTGCAATGTCAAGTGGCGAGAACCAGCGTGCTTCCGTATGAATTCAAAATACGATGCGGATGGTCTTTAGTGTATCAGTATGTAAACGTATAATCTTGGCCCATTCGGTCACGTCTGGTATCCCACCATTTCCATTAATAGTTTCTTCAGCATTACTCATTTAAATTCACTTAATTTCGGCAGGTATAAACAATGTTGTTTTTGCATATTCCTTTTCATTCCAAATGCTATTTCTTATAACACTACCATTTACTAAGAATAAAAAAGTATATATATATAGAGATAGATAGATAGATAGATAGATAGATAGATATTACAGGAATTGATTTTTTAAATAAGAGAGTGACAGCGTACACACACACGAACTGGTATGATTCGCTTGTCCTTTTAATATCAGATCACAGGTCACTGAAGGACGTTACACGT